TGAACAAAGGTCTTACGGGTTTCGAACAACACGAGGGTGAGTAATTAATGACAGTAGGGCTGCACGATTATGACAAAAATCATAATTGTCGATTATTCCTTTGAAATTGTAATTGCGATTATCAATTTGCAATTAAATGAATGATGTTTACACCTTTGTTTGAAGCAACTGAATGCCATATTTGTATATGAAAATAAGCAAGCTGAAAACACTAACTGAAAAACTTTTATTGCTTTTCTATAGTATTAAGCTAAATACTAAACTATAATTGGATTGGCTTCTCTTTAAATAAAAAGGTAAAAATATGCATGGTATTATAATGTTATACTAAAACTAAAATTAAAACAAGATAACATGTAGAAAGAAAGAAAAGCATCTTAAGCATGCAGAATAACATAAGTGGACATTGAACGATTAATTGCTGCTTTGAACGATTATGTAATTGTGGCATCCGTAATTGTAATTGGATTAGAAATTTGATTAATTGTGCAGCCCTATGTTGATTTATAAGCGATCTATAATTGTTAACGAGGGCTGGAAGTGAAATATTTAGATGTGCATAATTATTAAGCAGGCTTTATAGATAGATGTGGCCCTATACATATAATATTTTGTCAAATAATTTTCTAATTTTAAATGCTACATGAGCTCTTTTTTTCACTGAAAATGTTAACATTTATATATAGATTAATTGTATGTATACAATTTCAAATCAATGATCACTTTAATCAATTTCAAACACTATTTGAAAATTAAAAGTTGTTCTTTTGCTCTTTTCCAGGTGTGAGTTTTGGAGATGAAATCACACCAGACAGCACTGAGGAATCTGCTGCAGTGGGTTCAACTGTAGGAAACTACTACGGAATTAAAGTTCATTGTACAGAATCATTAGCTCCTCATTTTTATTTAATAAATAACATATGTCATTTACAGATCTGCTTCTCTACCTCTTTAGTTAATTTACCAAAATGCATCATCATCAACAGAGAGCAGGAAGATCCAGATTGATTGTATGACTCAGTTCCTGCAGAAAGTCAGAGCATCACAACCCAGAGAACAGAAGAGCATTAACAGGCCAATCAGATCACTCCTCGCTTTTCAGACCGATGAGCTTTGTAAAAATCGATGCGTTTCAGAAAGGCGGGGCATAGTCATAGAGGAGAAACAATAATGTACAGTCTGTGGGAAATAATGTGTTTTTTTAACCTTAAACCGCATAAACACACTTCATTACACCAAATACACAAAATAATGTTCTTTTTAGCAACATCATATGACCCCTTTAAATCTATTTTCCAGTGTGCTGGGGGCAAGTTGAACAGCCTTCAGGAGAAATGACTGCAAATAAAGGAGATCCAGTTACTCTACTGTGCAATTATTTGACCACAACTACAAATGCAGATGTTTATCTCTTCTGATATCAACAGCTTCCAAAAAGATCACCAACATTCATGCTGAGTATATTTACTTTTGGTGAATGAACTACTGGGTCTGATTTTAAGGAGAGATTTTGTGCAACATTGATCTCCACATCAAGAACAGTTCCACTGATGATCAAAGATGCATGTGTCTGACTCTGCTGTGTACTACTGTGCTCTGCAGCCCACAGTGACTGAAACATACTCAACACTCATACAAAAACATGAAATAGATCCATCCTCTGCAGTCATTATCACAGAAAGATACAACATCTTACAACAACTTCAACACTCAATGTACCTGAAATGAACTTCCAAACTCAAATCAAATCACATTACCTTAAAACCATCACAACAAAGTCATTCATGTTTGTATTTGTCTTCAAAATGATCTACTAAATAGATAAATGTATAATTTATTGCGGTTGCAAAAGCTTTCCTTTAAGCAATCGCAGAGCAAAAACATGAGAAGGGGAAGACGGTCTCATCACACAGAAAGCAGGAAGTTCCAGTGTGTTTGAGTGTGAAACTGCAGCGACTCACAGTAACACAGATCTGCAGCTCAGAGCACAGAGAACATTAATACACACCTGATCTGACCTAGTCAACATGGAAAAACACCTGCTTCTCATTTTAATTCTGACTTCAGGTACAATTTGACTCTTTTAATAATTACAGTAGTGAACAGACACATCCAAACTGGATAGTTTTGTGTTACTTGATTCTTATTTTGTTTGTTTGTTTTAGGTGTGATGACTGCAGACCAGATTAGACCAAAAGAAACTAGTGTCATAAAGAAGGAAGATGAGATTGTATCCCTCAGCTGCTCATATGATACAAGCAGCAGATATGTTACACTTTACTGGTACAGACAGAATCCTAATGAAGAGCTTAGCTATTTAATATACAAGGCTGCACGGTCAAGTAGTGGAGGTGGGAGCCCTGCTGATCCTCGCTTTCAGTCGACTACATCAGATACATCCACTGAACTCACTATTACTGGTGTAACTCTGTCAGATTCAGCTCTCTATTATTGTGCTCTAAGAGTTGGAGCCCAGTGATACAAAGTCTATGTGTAGCCGTACAAAAACTCTAATTCATTTTTCCCTTTGATATTAAGCCACATCAAACCCACAATCTAAAATTCACACAATTTAATTATACTTGTGGAAACACCTGTGTGTGCTTACTGAAATGGTAATGAAAAGGAAACACAATATTTCCTGAATTACAGTTGTGCGTCACAACTCTCTTATGAAAGTTTTCCACTCCAAGTCAAATTCCTCATGCAGTGCAAACTAACATGTCCAGTAAATGTAATTCTATTTCTTATTTATTCTGGTTAATTTATTCTGATATCAATTACAGTGTTTGTGAATTTTGTCAGAATATATTATATTTAATTTAAGTAGTTCAGCTCAACAAAATCTATTTAAACTCACCACAAGGAGGCATCATTCCTCAAATTCTTATATGAGGCTGAACCTCATGAAGAATCTGAAACTATACAGTAAATTGACTATACAGTAAGAAAAAATACTTCTGTTAAAATATTTTCCCTTTTTAACTTCAAGCGACAATGACAAAATGGTTGGTAACATGAGGTGAGTAAATGATGACAGAAATGTTCATTTTTGGGTGAACTATCCCCTTAAACAAATCAAAATTTCAGAAATAACTGAAATAGACACAATCTACCAAGCAAATAATTGTATTTCACTACCTTCATGTAGCATTTGTTTAGGAGCAAAATTAATATGCTCTAATAACTGTATTTAATATTTTTATTTGATCTGTATTATTAAACTGCACTTTTTACCATATATAATTGAGGAATGAGAGAAAACTGAAATATCATAAACTTAATGTTAAATATTATACAACACTATGACACTTAAATGTCAAAATGAATAAAATGTTCCAGTCAAGCAGTGTATTTAGATACTGTGGTATAGTCAGTCTCCTCCTTCAGGTGTTTGGAAATATGTTCAGTGTAACTTTAGCAAAGAGAGACTGAAACAAGCTCAACACTCATACAAAAACATGGTTGAGTTTTTTATGTTTATGTGCTTTAATAGGTGTTATTTTTAACCTCTAAATATAATTAAACTAAGAATGTATTTCTATTTCCCTTGAAAAAAAAAACAATACATCTGTGTATAGTCATGTGTAACTTCTCCAGGTGTCTGATCATGTGATTAGAGCTGTTATATATCACAGCGAAACCAAGTGACAGAAACACACTTAACATTACAAAACTCCTGGAAGTTCTATCTGTACATCAAGTACATTAAGCAAAAATGCATCTGTCACATCTTTGAATAATGTAAATCTGACTTGTGTGAAACTAAATTTTCTATTCCCTATATGCAGTAACCACAAATTTACCATGGTAATAATAATAATACATTTTAGTACTTATGTAACACCATGTTTATTTTTCATGAGGTACCCTCAAAGGTGCACCTTTGTAACCCTTAAAGCAAGCATACTTGTATGGTACTAATATGCTCCCTTTTAGGGGTATAGTTGCACCTTTGAGGTTACTGCCCCAATAAAGGGCTAAAATAAAATTATAGTATACTTTATTTCTGACAGTGTAAACAAAAAAGGCCTATGAAATGTTAAAAAACATGGCTTTAAAATATAACATTAAGTGAGTATAATTACTGATTATATTCTTTTAATAATTTAAAAAATCAGTTTAGTTTAGAGGTATCTGTATCGATATTCCCTACTGGAAACTACTGCTCTCCAATATGTTTTTTCAGTTTAGCAGAAATGTATTTAGAGGCACGTATTTCGAATGAGCCTATGTTGTCCAAAAGGGGTCAGCATTGATCTCTTCATTTTTAGGTATAACATGTGACATGATACAAACCTTTAAAGAAGAGCTCTGTGAGATGAGCAGAGTTTTTTAGAGCAGAGTTGAGTAGATTTTCTGTTCTTTTACCTCGTAGAATAACTATGTTTAGATGGGCTTTGATTTCTCTGTGTTTCATAGCACATTATGAGGGTAAGCACATTTTTTTCTGTTTCTGCATACTTTAACAGAAAAATAATTACTTACATTCAGGTTACTAAACGTTTACACTTATTTTCCTAAAAATTCAAGTTAATGATAAAATTTTTCTGTCTATTTTCCAAGTGTCTTCGGGACAGGACAGGGTTGAACAGTCTTTTAGAGAAATCACTACGAGTGAAAGAGATCAAGTTATTGTACGGTGTAATTATACCACCACAGATACAAACCCATATCTCTTCTGGTACCAACAGCTGCCAAACAGATCACCAACATTCATTTTGAATAAATTTACTTTTGGTGAGGGAAATACTGAGCCTGATTTTAAGAAGAGATTTTCTGCAACACTGGATTCAACATCAAGAACAGTTCCACTGATGATCAAGGATGTGCGTGTGTCTGACTCTGCTGTTTACTACTGTGCTCTGAGGCCCACAGTGACAGAAAACACAAAAACACTTGTACAAAAACCTGACATGTGAAAAAGCATAACTATACCTGCTACAAATTAGACTAAACAGACTGGCCGGAGAACATAACAATCAAGAGAATCACATTCGCAAATTGCCAATTGAGACACTGAATGTATTCCATAAGACTTTAGTACTCAAAGACTCATGTTTAAGATTAGATATAATAATTTTGTACAAACCCATGATTAAACTGATATGTACTGTGAAAGGTACATTTCACAATGTAATTGCTACCAACATTTATGAAATTTTTTTTTTGAATAAAATTAAATAAAAAATAATCTGCATGGAGGAAAGAAACAGAATGGAGAATTTTTGGGGATGAGGAAACTACTACGAAAAAATTTGTCATTTTGTAATGCTTTTTGGTAACCATAAGATGGCAATATTCACCACATAATCATATTATTAAGCCTCATTACAGGATCATTTCCTCGCTTTCAGTCGACTACATCAGAAACATCCACTGAACTCACCATTACTAGTGTAACTCTGTCAGATTCAGCTCTCTATTATTGTGCTCTAAGAGTTGGAGCCCAGTGATACAAAGTCTATGTGTAGCTGTACAAAAACTCTAATTAATTTTTCTCTTTGAAACTGAACCACATCAAAACCACAATATGTTATACATAGAAACTAATAAATTATGTGTAAACACCTGCATATGATTGTGATAAGAAATTTTATCCAGATATATAATGTTTAATAAGAGGCGGCAAGAAAAATGAAAAAAGTGAAATGCACAACAGAAGATACGCAAGTTTGTGAAAGCACTTCATGACACACATGAACTTACAAATTACATATGTGTAATGCAGGTCATCTCAGCTAATAGCATCATCATGATATTTACAATTATTTACAAACAATAATTGATTATTATTATTATGATGTGCGATTTTTTTATTTTTTTTTTAGTTCTAATTAACGGGATAGTTCAACCAAAAAAGAAAATTTTAATGTTAATGTAATGACCCTCAGGCCATCCAAGATGTAGGTTCATTAAATGCAAGTCAGCGGCTGCCCGTTTTTGAGAATAAGAAAAAAGCATATCAAAGAAAACAAAATTAATACCCGTGGCTCCTGAAGATATATTGAGAACTTATTAATTTAAACAATTGGCCTGTGCAAGAATCCTTAGCTTTAGCCTCAGTGATTCGCAAACAAATCATTCTTTTGAACCGGTTCTTTTTGGAGAATTAGTTGAACCAGTTCATCAAATCGGACTAATTCAGTGCTTCAGTTCCTCTAACACTACACTGAACTGAGAAAACAGTTCCGACTCTTACCGAAGACCAATGATCTGGTGACATGCGCATATACGTGAACCAAACACTTTTTGAATTATGAGTTCAATAAGATTATTCACTTTAAATGCATTAGACATATAAAACATCAACATTTCACATCATTATTGAGTGTTTTAATTATATAATTGTGCATATGTTACATCATTGCATGATCACGTAAAAGAAACAAGTGAATTGAACCAGTTCATTAAAATAAAGGTAAATGTGTAAATAATGTTCAGTTTCTTGCACAGACTGATCGTTTTGCTTCAGAAGACCTCAATATATCGTCAGGAGTCACGGGTATTAATTTTGTGTTTATATGCTTTTTTTTTTAAATTTGGTATCAGCTCTCTTAACACCGTGTCTACACCGGATGCGAGCCAGTTGTCGTGTCGCGCTGCGCCGCAACAGCTAAAAAGTGTCTACACTGGACACGACAAAGCGACCGTTGAAAATAATTTGAAATTTGTGTCAATACGTCATAAATAGAACGCGGCAGCAGTTTACTGTCGGGGATTTGTCGAGTCGCGTCACACCGCATCCAGTGTAGACAGCATCACTGATTATAATGAGTTCTATAGTATTTTGTCGCGCCGCTCGTGCCCGGTGTAGACACGGTGTAAGCCTGATCCTTTATTTTACATCAGCTGTCATGCAGGTGTTATGCAGTAGAAGGCGGAATGCACCTTCAAGTAGGTTTGCCATCCATCATTAAAAGGAATAGAAGATGCTTAAATGCTTTTGATTCGATTAATGTCATTTGCAATGCTTCATGGGATTATAGGTCTTTCCTTCACTAAGTACACAGTCTTGTATCTTTGTTTTTTTTTCATCTGATCATCATCATCATTGAGTTTTTGACTTCAAATTAAAGTCTGTAATGTTGTGATTCACCTCGGTTTGTGGCTAATAATGTTTTAACAAAGACTTTTTAAAAATTCATTAAGGGAAAAATGAACGCTGCTAAAAGAGTGGGCGGGCACTAATGCACTCTATAAGGCTTCATCCTCTGCATGTCCACTGCTACAAAAACATAATGTGGCTATGTGTGTTAAAAATACATACATTCACCACTGGAGGGCAGAAACCATCAAAAGTGCCATCAATAATGTGAGGATTTAGACCTACTTGAAGACTTGAAAATATCAAGGGAAGTGCAGCACAGAGAAAACAGAGAGCTACAGGAAAGAGAGACACATTCATGAGAGCATACATGTTAAAATATTAATCTCTTTATCTTAACAATGGAAAAACTTGTGACTATTATGCATTTCTTCACAGCACAGTACTTTGGTAAGAAAGATAATCATTTCCACTTTATTATAATTTTTTAGTTACTCAACATATGTAAATTATAAATAGTTAAATCTATTTTCCAGTGTGCTGGGGGCAAGACAGAGTTAAACAGCCTTCAATAGAAATGACTGCAAAACAAGGAGATCCAGTTACTCTACTGTGCAATTATTCCACCACAACTACAAATGCATATATCTTCTGGTACAAACAACTATCAAATAGATCACCAACCTTCATTCTGAATAAATATTCATTTAGTGAAGGAATAACTGAGGCTGATATTAATAAGAGATTTTCAGCAACACTGGACTCCACATCAAGAAGAGTTCCACTGACAATCCAGGATGTGCATGTGTCTGACTCTGCTGTGTACTACTGTGCTCTGCAGCCCACTGTGACTGAAACACACTCAACACCCATACAAAAATATGAAATAGATAACTTGTGTTCATAGAGTCAAAAAGTGTGCATGCCTCTGGATCAGCATCCATCATCTGAGGTCAGTTAGTGGAATCACAGAAAGGTGTGAACAATTTTAACACTTCCAAACTTGGATCAATCACATGAGTCTCAAACCATCACAACAATAAAAAACAAACGAACAAACTAATTTAGGAGCCTATGCAGTGGGGACCTGAATTTGGAATTCAAATTTAAATCTGGAAATGTATTACATTTTTTTAAGACAAAATAACTAAGAACTATTTAAGATTCATAACTATTTTTAGGTCACTAATCAAACTTTAGACATTGGCCTTGTTAACTATTATCAATATACATCTTTTCTGTTTAATTCTGCTCTTATATTTATGCTCTAGATCAGTAATATTCGGTCATGTCAAAAATTTGTATCATAGCATTTATATTATTGGTATTATTGGCTCATTAATCATTCACGTTTGTAGATTTTGTTAGTCAAAACCATCTGCTAAAGTAATAAATATATGTATGATTTCTTGCCGTTGCAAAAGTTGTAGAATGCAAACTCATGCAAAAACATGAGAAGCGGCAGACCGTCTCATCACACAGAAAGCAGGAAGTTCCAGTGTGTTTGAGTGTGAAACTGCAGAGACTCACAGTAACGCAGATCTGCAGATCAGAGCACAGAGAACATTAACCTGATCTGACCTAGTCAACATGGAAAAACACCTGCTTCTCATTTTAATTCTGACTTCAGGTACAATATGACACTTTTATTTTCATTTTATTACAGTGGTATTAATGAGATATATTGAGATAATTTTGTGTAACTTGGCTGACAAATTATTTTTGTTTGTTTGTTTTAGGTGTGATGACTGCAGACCAGATTAGGCCAAATAAAGATGCTGTTGTCATAAAGGAAGACGAGACTGTGACCCTCAGCTGCTCATATGATACAAGCAGCAGTTATGTTAGACTTTATTGGTACAGACAGTATCCTAAAGGGGAGCTTCGCTATTTAATATATAAGGCAGCACGGTCGAGTGGTGGAAGTGGGAGCCCCACTGATCCTCGCTTCCAGTTAACTACATCACACACATCCACTGAATTTACTATTAGGAGTGTAACTCTGTCAGATTCAGCTCTCTATTATTGTGCTCTAAGAGTTGGAGCCCAGTGGTACAAAGTCAATGTGAAGCTGTACAAAAACTGTACAAACAGCAGTTATGTTAGACTTTATTGGTACAGACAGTATCCTAAAGGGGAGCTTCGCTATTTAATATATAAGGCAGCACGGTCGAGTGGTGGAAGTGGGAGCCCCACTGATCCTCGCTTCCAGTTAACTACATCACACACATCCACTGAATTTACTATTAGGAGTGTAACTCTGTCAGATTCAGCTCTCTATTATTGTGCTCTAAGAGTTGGAGCCCAGTGGTACAAAGTCAATGTGAAGCTGTACAAAAACTCTAATAAATTTTTCCCTTTTAATGTCAAGCCACATCACACCCACAATCTAGAATTCTCAGAATATAACTACACTTGTGGAAACACCTGTGTGTGGTTACTGAAAGGGTAATGAAAAGGAAACATGATGTCCTAGAATACTTCCTGAATTACAGTACATCACAACCATTTTGAAAGATCTGACTAAACATTACATCATCATTTAATATCTCCTCTGCAAAGTCTCTTGTATGGAGTCTCTTAAAGAAAGTTTCCCACTCAAAGCCAAATTATTCATACAGTGTAAACTAACATGTCCAATAAAAGTCATTTTACTTCTTATTTATTATTATTTTCAATTGATTCAATTCAATTGATTCTGACATTAATTGCACTGTTTGTGCAATTGGTGCAATTGAATTTTTTTCAGCTCAACAAAATCTATTCAAACTCACCACAATGAGGCATCCTTCCTCAAATTCTTATTTAAAGCTGAACCTTATGAAGAATCTGAAACTACAAAGAGAAATAGAGACTATACAGTAAGAATAAAACACTTCTGGAAAATTCTGTTAAAATATTCTTCCTTTTTAATTTTTATCTTTAAGTGAGAATGGCAAAATTGGTGTATATTGCACTTTTCTTCACAGCACATGATTTTGGTAAGAAAATTGTTTCATCATTTACACTTTACTACTAGGCCTATATCTGTGTGAGATACTCAATGTAAGCACATGAATAATGGCTACATCTATTTTCCAGTGTGCTGGGGACAAGACAAAGTTGAACAACTTTCAAGAGAAATGACTGCCAATGAAGCAGCTCAAATTACTCTACTGTGCAATTACTCTACCAGCAGTTATAATAATGCATATCTTTACTGGTACAACCAACTACCAAATAGATCACCAACATTCGTTCTGAGTGAATTTTCAAGTGGTAAAGGAACTACTGAGGATGAATTTAAAGAGAGATTTTCTGCATCACTGGATTCAACATCAAGAACAGTTCCACTGATGATCAAGAATCTGCGAGTGTCTGACTCTGCTGTGTACTACTGTGCTCTGAGGCCCACAGTGACTAAAACACACTCAACACTCTGCTTTGATATCTGATTGTATTGATTGTGATTGTATTTCACATTTGTAAGTTACTTTGGATAAAAATGTTGGTTAGAAATACATAAATTCACCACAGGGAGGCAGCATACCTCAAGGTGTCTTTAAGGAGACGTGCCTACGGATCTGAAGACTTGAAATATCAAGAGGAAACCAAGAGCCACAATCACATCAGACAGAGACACAATCATAAGAATACACATTAAAATATTAATCTCTTTATCTCAACAATGGAAAAATGGGTGATTATTACACTTTTCTTCACAGCACAGGACTTTGGTAAGAAAGTTCATCATTTGCACTTTATTATTTATTTATATGTGCGTTACTTCATATATGTAAATGGTTAAATCTATTTTCCAGTGTGCTGGGGGCAAGACAGAGTAGAACAGCCTTCAGGAGGAATGACTGCAAATGAAGCAGATCAAGTAACTTTAATATGTAATTACACTACCAAAACTACAAATGCAGATGTTTATCTCTTCTGGTACAAACAGCTGCCAAACAAATCACCAATATTCATTCTGAATAAATATACATTTAGTGAAGGAATAACTGAGCAGGATTTTAAGAAGAGATTTTCTGCAACACTGGATTCGACATCAAGAACAGTTCCACTGATGATCAAGAATCTGCGTGTGTCTGACTCTGCTGTTTACTACTGTGCTCTGAGGCCCACAGTGATTGAAACACACTCAACACTCACACAAAAACATGCAAAATAAAAACTCTCCAACTTTGCCAACGTAACACTATAAACCAAGTAAAAACATTATAAAAAGTTATCATAATTTATAAGTTATCAAGTGATAATCATATCAGTAATAAACAATAAAGTGCTCTTTGCGGGGAACCAAAGAATCAAGTCATTGAAAAGTTCAAGATGAACCTGGAGTTGTGAAGTTCTACTCAAGCAGAGCAGATCTATAGCATTTCCATTGTGTTTTCATTATTTTTATCACTTCAACTTTTTTTTTAACAGATTGCAGTATGACCCAGAATGTGTCAATTTGTTTTTCAAGGCTCTTGTGCTTGTGTTCAAAACGGTCACTTCCAACCAATCACCTGCATCTGAAACCATCAAAGTAAAAAAAAAAAAAGTCTGAAGACACACCTCTTCTGTGAGGACTGAACTAATACATTAGAATGGGAGCCCAGAGAACATTAATACACTGATCTGACCTAGTAAACATGGTAAAATGCCTGTTTCTGATTTTAATTCTGACTCCAGGTACAGTATGCCTCCCTTTATTCATTGTAGTCATTTACAGTAGAAAAACAGTGTAAGAAATAATTTTGTGCAGTTTAAATCAGTAATTATCTTATTTCTTTGTATTAGGTGTGATGACTGCAGACCAGATTAGGCCAAATAAAGAAACTAGTGTCATAAAGAAGGAAGATGAGATTGTATCCCTCAGCTGCTCATATGATACAAGCAGCAGATATGTTAGACTTTACTGGTACAGACAGTATCCTAAAGGAGAACCTCAGTATTTAATGTGGAAAGAGGCTCGGGATTGGAGTAGCACTGGGAAGCCAGCTGATCCTCGTTTTCAGTCGACTACATCAGAAACATCCACTGAACTCACCATTACTAGTGTAACTCTGTCAGATTCCGCTCTCTATTATTGTGCTCTAAGAGTTGGAGCCCAGTGATACAAAGTCAATGTGAAGCCGTACAAAAACTCAAATTCATTTTTCACTTTGATCTCAAGCCACATCAAACCCACAATCTATAATTCACACAGTATAATTACACTTGTGGAAACACCTGTGTGTGATTAATTCAAAATATAATGGGAAAAGAAAGAAAAAGCGAAATAGATCAAAATAAGATGTTGTGGATTGCTATTAATATGCAAAACATATGCAAAACCAATCGTAATAGTTGTGGACATACTGTATATAAAAAAAAACATTTTAAGATTAAATAATACATTTACAAAACTGACTTTCAATGCTGGTGGAATGAAAATATGTATATAATATAGTAGTTAAGAATAACATTAACATTAAGTCTCTTTTTCTTTTTGAACAGTTTCTTCTAATAATATACACAAACACAATAACAATGTCAAGTGATAACAATGTCTAGAATTACATTAATTCATCAAATCGAAATAAGGGGTCAGTGCTTGAACCAATGTATGGGACTGATAAAACAAACATTGGAAAGACTTTAAAATACACCCAGAATCCTTCAGGAGGAGGAGACAGTCACACTGTGTTCAGATTCTGTGCAGTCAGACTCCTCCTGCAGGTCTTTGCATATTACAACAACTTTATCAAAGAGAGGCTGAAACAAGGATCTGCTGTAGATTTTATCGAGTTCATTTTATCTAACGTATTATTTAAAAATTATTATGATGGCAAACTGGCAAAGAATTGTAGTCTTCTTTATCACATATTACCGGGGTAAGTTAAATTCTGTAAGTAAAAACTGCTAATACTAATATAAGCAAAATCTGATCCTCATTTTTTTTTGCATTACATTACAGGATGTGATTCTCTGGACAGTGTTGAACAAAATACAACAGTTCTTACAGCTCTTGAAGGAGCAGTTGTAACAATCAGCTGTCAATATGAAACCACTGATATATTGCCAATTTTCTTCTGGTACCAGCAAAAAGTAAATGGAGTTCCAGAATTCATGCTGGACAAATTTGATAATTATGCCATCCATTTCAAGGAAAGATTTAGTGGCGATCTCAACACAATTTCAAAATCTTTTCCACTGACAATCCAGGATGTGAGTGTGTCTGACTCTGCTGTGTACTACTGTGCTCTGCAGCCCACAGTGACTGAAACACAATCAACACTCATACAAAAACCCTTTGTGAGCATCTGAGTAGTGTTGTTCAAACTCTGATGTGATGTGACTACTGCTTCCACTGTTATGAAGCCTGCGTAAATCTAAATACTTATTACACTTAATAGGAAGTTATTATTGCCTAAAAAGATGGCCTACTCATTTGACACAAATGTTAGAAAACTGCTTTGCCAAGTGCTACTCATATAATATATTCTTACCTCTATAAAAGCCTCTAAAAACAACATGTATGTAAATGTAAAGTGGTAAAATCAAATTCTGCACTTTTAAAAACTTTTCTTTAATTCATATCAGGTGTACTTTCAAGTCAGCAGTGATTCCATTCAACCTTCAAAAAACAAAACAACAATAACAACACCTGTGTTTTCAGATACTATGGTATCTAATTTATGAACAACACATTTTTTGGATTTTGTGTTGCAATTATGTTGGATGTTGCCTCAAATAGGACACAGATGGTAAACATATTTTTAGACTGAAGGTGGTGAAATCTACATATACAGTACATGACATCACCTCAAATATACTGTTGTAAGCTTTGGTTGTAAAGAAAACATCTTTTTATCATGGTTCATGTTTGCGTTGGGAAAAAAAAAAGTCTGGTCTGTCTGATAAATATCATTTTACTTCTGATTTATTCTGAGTTTAGTTACACTGTTTGTAAATTATATTACAACATATTGTTGTATTTTATGGACTGTTATTAATATGCAAAACATATGCATAACCAATCCTAATAGATGTGGACATACATCACAAACAATAAAACAAAAATATTTTAAGATTTAAAAAAAATCATCCCTCAAATTCTTATATAAGGCTAAACCTTGAGAAAAATATAAAACTACAAAGAGCAACAAGAGATGTTTGACTGAATATCATATTATTCTATCCTGACTAGATTCAGATACATAAAGATGTATTTATGTAATATTATTTTACACAGTAATGTCATATTATGCACAGTCTGTCAAAAGCCATTGCACTTCAAGGTTTATATAATTAAATAATCACAAATGATTCCAAAGGTTACAAATGAATGAAAAGCTGTTTAATACAATAAATTCACCACCGGGGGGAAGCATCTCTTAATTTCTTGTGTGAGACTGTTCAGTTGCTGAAAACATCAAGAGAAGCTACTAAGGACAGTGAGATCTGCTATAAGTAGAGACTCACATTAGTTGTCTGACTCTCACTCTCTTCAACTCAGAGCAATGATGGCAAAATGGCTGATTATTACGGTTTTCTTCACAGCACATTATTTTGGTAAGAAGAGTCTTTCATCTTTAACACTTGAGTTACTCAATATCTTAATATCTTGAGTTACTTAATATCTGATTGTTAATTCATGTCCGATCCTTTCCAGTGTGCTGGGGACAGGACAGTGTCAATCAGCCTTTAAGAGAAAATACTTCTGCTGAGGGAAATCAAGTGACTTTATTGTGTAATTACACCCTCATGAGTGCTGCAAATGTTTATCTCTACTGGTACAAACAACTGCCAAACAGATCACCGAATTCTCTGGAAAGTTCAAACTGCTGTTGAAGGAGCAGCTGTAACAATCAACTGTCAATATGAAACCACTGATATGTCGGCAAATCTCTTGTGGTACCAGCAAAAAGCAAATGGATTTCCGGAATACATGCTGAGCAAATTCGGCATGCAGTTCAAGGAAAGATTTAGCAGCAATCTCAACACAATTTCAAAATTATTTCTACTGACAATCAAGGATCCATGTGTATCTGACTCTGCTGTATACTATGCTCTGCAGCCCACTGTGACAGAACACTCACACTCATACAAAAACCCTGTGTGTGCATCTAAGTTTTGTTGTTGAACCTCTGATGTGATGGGACTACTGCTTCCATTGTTATAAAGCCTCTGTCAGATTAAAGGGGTCATATGATGCAATTTCAAGTTTTCCTTTGGAATGTTACAAGCTGTTCGTGCATAGATAAGATCTAGCTGGCCAATCAGCGTACACCTCACTTTTCAGACCGATGAGCTTTGTAAAAATCGACGCGTTTCAGAAAGGCGGGGCATAGAGGAGTAACAATAATGTACAGTATGTGGAAAATAATGTGTTTTTTGAACCTTAAACCGCATAAACACATTGCATTACACAAAATACACAAAATAATGTTTTTAGCAACGTCCTATGACCCCTTTAAATCACACTTAATAAGAAGCTCCTTATTGCTTATATACACACAGATTACCCACACATTTGCCACAAACCCCCTAAAACAATTTTATTTTAATTTTTTTAACCCCCTAAAACAATTTTATTTTTATTTGTTACAATTATTTTGGAAGCTGCCTCAAATGGGACACAGATGGTAAAAACATTTTTAGCCTGAAGGTGGCGATATCTACATATACATCAGTGCTTCTCAACTGGTTTGGCCATGGATGGGACCCACATTTTCCCATGGTCATCAAGCCGCGACCCCACTTTATGATATATATATATATATATATATATATATGTGTGTGTGTGTGTGTGTTAAAAAATATACATCATACCTTCATGCAAATCCTTCCCAGCTAACACACGAAGTACCAGTTATGTGATTTATTGGCACTTTACTTTTATTTCACACGTTGCATGCTCGTAGTTTCTTTTGTGCTTTAGTGAAATGATATACAGCGTGCACCACCGCATTTGCGCATGCAATTGAATTGAATTAACGTCTGACAGGACATGATAGTTCATTTTTCTGAGGTGAGAGACTTTTTATTTCATAGCAAGTTACAAAAATAACGATATAATAATGAAACTGACATTAAACCTGACAACATCTCATCTGACCGCAGAATCGGGACAGCACGTTTTTCTCAGGCAGTCTTTACTCTGCAAAAAAAGTGTCAACAGCGTTCATGCACATATTTCAAAATAAAAGTCTTTATGATATATATATATATATATATATATATATGTGTGTGTGTGTGTGTGTTAAAAAATATATATCATACCTTCATGCAAATCCTTCCCAGCTAACACACGAAGTACCAGTTATGTGATTTATTGGCACTTTACTTTTATTTCACACGTTGCATGCTCGTAGTTTCTTTTGTGCTTTAGTGAAATGATATACAGCGTGCACCACCGCATTTGCGCATGCAATTGAATTGAATTAACGTCTGACAGGACAGGATAGTTCATTTTTCTGAGGTGAGAGACTTTTTATTTCATAGCAAGTTACAAAAATAACGATAGAATAATGAAACTGACATTAAACCTGACAACATCTCATCTGACCGCAGAATCGGGACAGCACGTTTTTCTCAGGCAGTCTTTACTCTGCAAAAAAAGTGTCAACAGCGTTCATGCACATATTTCAAAATAAAAGTCTCGCATCAGAAAAACATTTAGAATTACGTTTTTTGTTGTTGATGTTGTTTCTTTGACTGTACACTCCGCGACCCACCAGTTGGGAAACACATGACACCACCTCAAACTTACTAATCTAAAGAAAACATCTGCTGTTGAAAAATCATCATCAACATGACAAGCTTAACCTTCTTTCATAAACAAAGATGACTAAGAATGTTTCTTTTATGCAGTTTTGCCTTTTCCATGGTAAGCATCATAAAACTGTCGTCAAATTTTAATGATAAATTTTAACTGTAATGTTAATATCACAATGTATATTGCATAATTATGTTGTTATGCAGGATTCTTTAGCAAAGACACTGTTTAAGCAGCCAAATAAGACAAAAACTGCCAACGCAGGACAGCAGGTCACCCTGAGCTGAATTTGAAGAGATGTTTGATGCCCAATTGAACTCAAATTCAGGTTTTAGGTGAATTATCCTTTAATGAATAAGTTTACATTTACTTTAAAAGTCTGAATTTTAAAAAAATGAACAAGGATGTTCACATGAGTTAAGCTGATATGTATCATTATATTTACATTATGAAATAAAAAGGGATAGAGGATTGGTTATGATGTCACTGACCACGCCTACACTACTCACAGACAACAGAGCTCCTCACCACTGCAGTCATTTATCTGTTAACAATTTTTATCTATTTTTATCATTTATCAAATTGAGTTTACAAGCACATATATAAACCCAAAAGAAAGATATATAGTTTAATCTGATTTTGATAAGTTTTGGCTATGGTATCAACATGAGAGATGTCTAATTGTAATTTTCATAACCGTTTCAGGTGAGTATAATTAGCACTTTTAACATTACATGGATGTTTTAACATATATAACTTGTTGATGGTTTATAGATGATGATAAAATTGTATTGCAGGTGCATTAGCAGACAGCATTGGTCCAGTTAACAAGGATACCAATATGATCCGAAGAGAAGGAGATTCTGTGACAATGAGCTGTTCATATGACACAAGCAGCAGTTATGTTTATCTTTACTGGTACAGACAGTATCCAAACAGAGAACCAGAATATTTACTGGATAAAGGTGCCCGATCATGGAGCAGTTATAGAAATCTACCAGACCGTCGGTTTCAGTCGACTACATCTGAATCATACACTGAACTCACTATTAAGAGTGTAACTCTGTCAGATTCAGCTCTCTATTATTGTGCTCTAAGAGTAGCAGCCCAGTGATATAAAATGCCCGAGAAGCTTCACAAAAACTCACACACTCTTATTTCTTTGAACAACAGCAATCAAATGCGTATCAAACCACAGAAAAATATTTTGTAAACCACAGAAATAAATAAATGAGAGGATAAGGTAACACCTATTGAACAATAAACAGTGGTTCATAAACTGAGTTAATTTTCCTTCTTCCAATGAACAAACTAAATAAAATGTTATTAAATTGTAATTGTAAATTGAGGGAAACTAAATAACTGATCTTTGATTAGTAGTAAGAGCAGAGAATTAAAATATCCCAGTTGTTATTTCTTACATCAAAATAATGAAACATAATGAATGTTAATATGAATTATATGATTATAATTTCGGTAACACAAACGGTATAATTTAATTGTTTTTGCAAAACAAATGGAATATGTAATACATGTTTAATATCTGACTGTATTACATTCAGCCCCAAGTGCTGATTCTACTTGGAAATTAATTATTCAATTATATTGCTTTAATATGTGAAATCACATGAACTATTTGTCAAAATGCTGTAAGTTACCAAATAAATAAATCATAAATACATGTTTGCACAGTTTAAGGAAATGTGAGAAATGGCATTTGAGTCAGATTCAGCTCTCTATTATTGTGCTCTAAGAGTAGCAGCCCAGTGATATAAAATGCCCGAGAAGCTTCACAAAAACTCACACACTCTTATTTCTTTGAACAACGGCAATCAAATGCGTATCAAACCACAGAAATATCTTTTGTAAACCACAGAAATAAATAAATGAGAGGATATGGTAACACCTATTGAACAATAAACAGTGGTTCATAAACTGAGTTAATTTTCCTTCTTCCAATGAACAAACTAAATAAAATGTTATTAAATTGTAATTGTAAATTGAGGGAAACTAAATAACTGATCTTTGATTAGTAGTAAGAGCAGAGAATTAAAATATCCCAGTTGTTATTTCTTACATCAAAATAATGAAACATAATGAATGTTAATATGAATTATATGATTATAATTTCGGTAACACAAACGGTATAATTTAATTGTTTTTGCAAAACAAATGGAATATGTAATACATGTTTAATATCTGACTGTATTACATTCAGCCCCAAGTGCTGATTCTACTTGGAAATTAATTATTCAATTATATTGCTTTAATATGTGAAATCACATGAACTATTTGTCAAAATGCTGTAAGTTACCAAATAAATAAATCATAAATACATGTTTGCACAGTTTAAGGAAATGTGAGAAATGGCATTTGAACCTTTTGCAATACACAAAAGAAACCAGGAGAGGGTGATATTTACTTTATATTTACATTGTTAACTATGTTCATCTGACAGTGCACCGAGCTCCTCCTCATTATCACTAACAACACCAAGGCTTTGAATAACAGACTCACGCTTTCAGGACTGAATCATACTGCTTGGATATACTATTCTCTCAAACAATGAAACTATGGTTGGAAATGTTGGTTTTTGCACTGGTTATTGCTGGTATGTAAAGTTAATTTCTTTACGTTTATTTATTTATTTATTTAATAATTATTTATTTTAATTTGTGCATATTTATTTATAGTACCATTTGTAACATGATTATATATTTGCAGAATGTAGACCAGAGGATACAGTTGATCAGCCAGATAAACATGTAACTGAAGCTGAAGGAGGATCAGTCACATTACAATGCAAATATACTGCAACTACAACAACAGCACCAGAACTCTTCTGGTACATCCAGAGAGCAAATGACATTCCTAAATACATGCTGAGGAAAAGCAAATACGGAGGAGATCAGGCCACTGAGTTCCAGGAGAGATTTCACTCTGAAGTATCATCAGATTCAGTTCCACTGACAATCAAGAATCTGCGTGTGTCTGACTCTGCTGTGTACTACTGTGCTCTGCAGCCCACAGTGACTGAAACACACTCAGCTCTTACAAAAACTTTAATCAGTGCTGATCTCCATTCTGTGATACAATCAGCCATTTTTTCTTCATTCATTGTCACACATGTATATATACAAAATCTTAATTTTATTATTTTATCAATATTTTCAATTCACCAATATAATTAATGTTAAAATAGAATAAATGTTCAATGACAGTCAAGATCAAAAACAAAGCTTGCTCTATGTTGGCAGAATAGGGGGCAGGTCTTGATATCACAATCCACACCCACATTATTAATATAAAGCACATCAGTTCTTCAGTGCATTCATTAACCATATGATTTATGTACTCTATTAAAAATAATTATGGTAGACTATATTTCATCATTCAAAACAACATAGAAGGATCGTCCACTTTTAAAAACAGTTCAGATCTGAAAAATCCAAATGGAGAGATATTTATTGATCCTCATAATCATATCAGGTAAAACACACTTTTAGCAGTTCTTAAACAGTATTCAACATGTTAAGCAGTGAGTTCAGTGATTAGAGAGAAAATTTTACATCAATTACATGCATGTGTGATTCTTAACGTCTCCTTTTTAGTTTCACTGAAAGGACTGCGATTGTGAAGTGTCTTATATTACTTCCAGGTGTTTTCTGACAGCATTGGACCAAATGAAGAGGATAAGAGTATAACCAGGAAAAACGGAGAGTCTGTGACACTGAGATGCTCATATGATACAAGCAGCGATTAAATTTTCCTTTACTGGTACAGACAGTATACTAACCGAGAACCTGAGTATTTACTGTTGAAAGGAGCTCGATCATACAGCGGAGCTGATGATTCAGACCGTCACTTTCAGTCAACTACATCCAAAATCTCCACTGAACTCACTATTAAGAGTGTAACTCTGTCAGATTCAGCTCCCTATTACTGTGCTCTGAGAGTTGGACCCCAGTGATACAAAAGACCTAAGAAGGTTTACAAAAACTCACACACAATTCTTGCTTTAAAAGTCAGTAATCAAACGTTTATAATACCACATGTACCACTGAGATTGTAAACAACAGAATGTGGTAACACCTGCTGAACAATTTAGGAGCACATGAAAAAGAGTAGAGAAGGGTATATATGATAATGAACTAAAACAAATTGCTGTTTACAGCAAAATAAATGTGAAATTTCATTTAAAAAATATGAATAGATTTACTATCTTCTATAGATTTACAAAACCAGAACGACATTATCTGACTTCTCATGTGAAATAAAATATTCAATAGGAAAGAATTAAACTAGAAGCTGTGTCAAATTAATTAATATGAATTGCAAGAACAATGATGGTTTAATGATGGTGTAGAACAACTGTTTGCCTTATGCACTGATAATTCTAATATGCACAGTGAGAAAAGATTGCATAAAAAGAGTCACCTTTTTATAAGTATTGATATGATTACATTTAAAGTAGTTCACATCAGTTAAATCAATGTAAGTTAATCCTCTGTATAATTACAATTTGAAATAAAAAGGGATAGAGGATTGGTTGTGATGTCACTAACCACACCCATACTATTCTTAACAGCAGAGCACCTCCCCACTGCAGTCATTTATCAGTGCATCCATTTCAATCATTTATTTCATTTATCAAAAGTCTGCATATGGATGAATCTCAAAAATGATAAATACGAACACCTCCTAAAGCTGTAATCAAAACCAATTAAAAACATAATTAAACTGAGGTATTAACATGGAGATATGTCTGCTACTGATTCTAATAACAATTTCAGGTGAATATATTTTATGCTTTAAAAATCAAATTTGTTTTTGACAAGAATGATGTTTTGGATTATGGAAAGGGATGATGGTTTAATGTGCAATTGCTATGTCTTACATTTTATTGCAGGTGTGTTTGCTGACAGCATCAGACCAAATAAGGATACTGTTATGATCAGGAGAGAAGGAGAGTCTGTGACACTGAGCTGCACATATGATACAAGCAGCAGTTATGTTTATCTTTACTGGTACAGACAGTATCCAAACACAGAACCTCAGTATTTACTGTGGAAAGGTGCTCGATCAAACGGAGGAGAGCATAAAATAGAACAACGGTTTCGGCCAGCTACATCCCAAACATCTACTGAACTCACTATTGACAGTGTAACTCTGTCAGATTCAGCTCTCTATTATTGTGCTCTAAGAGTAGCAGCCCAGTGATACAAAGTGCCTGAGAAGCTTTACAAAAACTCTCTCACACTGTTATTACTTTGAACTACAGCAAACAAATGTGTATCAAACCACAGAAAAGTCAGTAATCAAATGTTTATCACACCACATGTATATCTTTTGTAAACAACTGAGACTCTAAACAGAATGTGGTAACACCTGTTGAACAGTTCTGAAGTATGTGAGAGAGGAGAGGATAGGATATGACATCAAACTAGAAAAACTTGTGAACACACTTGCTGTATGTAATTCAGTTTATGTCATTTGCATAAAGTTACTCCTTAGCATGGTTCCATACAGGGATGTAGGCAATCAAAGCTAAATCATATTCTCAACTCTATATGTTAAACTCATAAAAATAGTGCCAATTTATCTCTATCTCTCTAATAATTAAGTATTATTGCAAAACCAACTTTTTTTATTTGCCTTGTTTTGACTACAGTTGTTGGTACATATAAGGTACATATAAAAATTGTGCACATTCTTGTTCCTTAGACTTAAAATTTAAGTCTAAATATAATGATAAACTAATAATGATAAAGACCACTCAAAGTTCCACTTTTAGGGTGAATTTATAATGGTTTGAGTCTACGTCCTGAATGTTTTTAGGGAGTACATATTGTGCGCATTCAGGTTTGAGACCACTTCCATTTTTTATGGACAAAAAAATACTCCTTACTTTAGAGTTGATCATATCTGGTGAGGGTAAAAATTGTGCACATTCTTGTTCCTTAGTCTTAAAATTTAAGTCTAAATATAATGATAAACTAATAATGATAAAGACCACTCAAAGTTCCACTTTTAGGGTGAATTTATAATGGTTTGAGTCTACGTCCTGAATGTTTTTAGGGAGTACATATTGTGCGCATGCAGAACATTTCAGGTTTGAGACCACTTCCATTTTTTATGAACAAAAAAATACTCCTTACTTTAGAGTTGATCATATCTGGTGAGGGACCAGATAGGAAGAAATTTTCACAGAAGTTGTAAAAATCTTGAGATTTTGCTGAAATCTGCTGAGAATATACAGAGCTAGAAAAGGATGACACAGTTGATCAGCCACTTAAACATGTTACTGAATTTGAGGGAGAATCAGTAACATTGGACTGTAAATATACTACAGCCTCACCATCACAAGAGCTTTTCTGGTACATACAGAGAACAGATGAATCTCCTAAACTTGTGTTACAAAGGAAATCATATGGAGGAGGAATTAATGGAACAGAGTTCCAGGAGAGATTTTACTCTGAGGTGAAACCGTCAAAATCAGTTCCACTGATAATCCAGAGACTGCGTGTGCCTGACTCTGCTCTGTACTACTGTGCTCTGAGGTCCACAGTGTTAACAGGATGCCTCTCTCTCAAACAAATTCAAAAGAAACCTATACAGGGGAGAGAGAAGAGTGAAACCCTGTGAAAAATATACATGAGCTTCACGGGGTAAAATCACCATCATTCACAGGTTAAAAACCAACTTTAATTCAAGAAAATACATTTTGATGTCTCGTTTATAGTTTGATTTGTGATGTTAATGACAGAACTGACAGAAATGGTATCATCTGAATCAGCAGATTCTCATTTAATTTGAAATATATACTGTAATACTTACACAAGCTTTCCACATACTTAACACATTTTCAGTTAAGCTTTTAGAATTATAAGTCCGTGTTTTATATATTGTATAAAATTCATGCCCAAAATGTAACATGTCTATGTTTGTAAGCAGGGCCTAAAACTAACTTTTTGCCAGACCTGCCAATGACCTGTGACTTAAGGAAATATACCGGCCAGAAATATTTTTTACCAGCCACGGAAAAATAAATAAATAAATAAATAAAACAAGCAGTTATGACACCAAAAAAAAAATCACAATCCTTGATTCCAGTTTCGATATCTTGCTAAAACTACTAGCTTAACCAATATAAACTTTTTAGGCTACATTTTTTAAAGACTATTAAATAGTCAGTTGTAAAATAAGAGCAAATCAAGTTACAAGCAATAGCACAAAATAGCCTACTATTCAACAAAGACACAATTGGAAACAGTGCATTTCAGGCAGGTCTAACAGTGATTTTCAGGTAGCCTACATAAATTTAATAAATTATGCTAATCAAATAACACTATAGTCTTTATATCTTTTTTAAAGTTCAAGAGCAGTGAGTGATTGGTTTTTTTGTTCTTTGATCAACATTAAAAACGCAGACAACAGCAGGATTATTGGAATTCTGTGTCTATAACTTTAACTCCGTGTCTACACCACAGCAGCTTCAAGTTATCAACACTGGATGCTACAAAGCGGCCGTCACTTGGACTATTTCAGAAATAGAACTGGGAATCCGATGAATCTCCTAAACTTGTGTTACAAAGGAAATCATATGGAGGAGGAATTAATGGAACAGAGTTCCAGGAGAGATTTTACTCTGAGGTGAAACCGTCAAAATCAGTTCCACTGATAATCCAGAGACTGCGTGTGCCTGACTCTGCTCTGTACTACTGTGCTCTGAGGTCCACAGTGTTAACAGGATGCCTCTCTCTCAAACAAATTCAAAAGAAACCTATACAGGGGAGAGAGAAGAGTGAAACCCTGTGAAAAATATACATGAGCTTCACGAGGTAAAATCACCATCATTCACAGGTTAAAAACCAACTTTAATTCAAGAAAATACATTTTGATGTCTCGTTTATAGTTTGATTTGTGATGTTAATGACAGAACTGACAGAAATGGTATCATCTGAATCAGCAGATTCTCATTTAATTTGAAATATATACTGTAATACTTACACAAGCTTTCCACATACTTAACACATTTTCAGTTAAGCTTTTAGAATTATAAGTCCGTGTTTTATATATTGTATAAAATTCATGCCCAAAATGTAACATGTCTATGTTTGTAAGCAGGGCCTAAAACTAACTTTTTGCCAGACCTGCCAATGACCTGTGACTTAAGGAAATATACCGGCCAGAAATATTTTTTACCAGCCACGGAAAAATAAATAAATAAATAAATAAAACAAGCAGTTATGACACCAAAAAAAAAATCACAATCCTTGATTCCAGTTTCGATATCTTGCTAAAACTACTAGCTTAACCAATATAAACTTTTTAGGCTACATTTTTTAAAGACTATTAAATAGTCAGTTGTAAAATAAGAGCAAATCAAGTTACAAGCAATAGCACAAAATAGCCTACTATTCAACAAAGACACAATTGGAAACAGTGCATTTCAGGCAGGTCTAACAGTGATTTTCAGGTAGCCTACATAAATTTAATAAATTATGCTAATCAAATAACACTATAGTCTTTATATCTTTTTTAAAGTTCAAGAGCAGTGAGTGATTGGTTTTTTTGTTCTTTGATCAACATTAAAAACGCAGACAACAGCAGGATTATTGGAATTCTGTGTCTATCACTTTAACTCCGTGTCTACACCACAGCAGCTTGAAGTTATCAACACTGGATGCAACAAAGCGGCCGTCACTTGGACTATTTCAGAAATAGAACTGGGAATCCGTTTACTTTCGGGGATTTGTCGTGTCGCGCGGCGCCGCATCCTGTGTAGACAATATCACTGATTATAATGGGTTCTTTTGTCTTTTGACACATTGCGTCGCACGTGATTCGTGTCCGGTTTCTTTCTCAAGTGTTCACGTTCACTTAAGAACCAACTAGGATAGGATACTCACAGAGACTGACATTTTTTTAAATCACATAGTTTTTTAAATACTAACTTTTAAATGGGCTGGTTTTCAGACATATTGTTGTGTCTAAAATGTATATCCAGATGTATTTCCTGACAGCACTGGACCAAAAGACAAGGACGCTATAATCAGTAAAGAAGGAGAGTCTGTGACAATGAGCTGCACATACAGTACAATCAGCAATGATGATTTGCTTTACTGGTACAGACAATATCCAAACACAGAACCCCAGTATTTACTGTGGAAAGGTGCTCGATCATGGAACCGTGAAGAGGATATTCAAGACCGACGCATTCAGTCAACTACATCCCAATCATCCACTGAACTCACTATTAGGAGTGTAACTCTCTCAGATTCAGCTCGCTATTACTGTGCTCTAAGAGCAGCAGCCCAGTGATACAAAATGCCTGAGACGCTTTACAAAAACTTACACACAAAAATTAACAACAATAGTAATCAAATGACTCTAAACCACATTCATCCCTTATATAACCCACATGGAATATATACACCACAATATGGTAACACCTTATTTAATGGGTGTGAGAGAGGATCAAAGTAATAAAGACTATTTGACAAATCAAATAATAAAATCACTAAAACAGAAATAAAAGTAATCTAAATAGAAATATTACAAAACCCAAAATCTAATAAAAATGAGAAAAGCACACTGAAATTAAAACGACTGACTGAAAACATAACAATAAAAGCTCATTCAAAAAATATGTATAAATAATAGAATATATATAAAAGGATACAATATGATCAGGGAAGAAGAAGAGTCTGTGACTGGAATGCTCATATGATGCAAGCAGCAGTTATGCTTTGCTGTACTGGTACAGACAGTATCCTAATAAAGAACCTGAATTAATACTGTATAAAGGTGCTCGATCATGGAGTTACAAAGAAGATATATCAGACCATCGGTTTCAGTCGACTACTTCCTAGTCATTACTGATTATTAAGACAATGAAAGAAGAGTCAGAAATGTGCATAAACAAGAAAGAAAAAAACAAAACAAAGAAATGGCCCATTTGTAAGGAAGAGTAGAGAGCAAACATGTGCGGATTCAACAGAACAAGCTCCTCCCAGCCATCATATATATAGTATGATGATATTTAAAATCATCAAATACAAGCTGAAACAACTGTGCTCAGTGGATTTTAACAGTTCATTCCTGTCAGTTACACATCTGTTACTCACTGGGAAATACATTTTATTATCTTTATAACATATTTCTGGGGTGAGTATGAATCCTTTTGAATCTCTATTTGCCATATTATAACATGAAGAATATTAATTTATTTTGCTTTAAATTCTGTTCCAGGATGTGATTCTCTGGAGAGTGTTGACCAGAATACAAGAGTTCAAACTGCTGTTGAAGGCAGATCTGTGACGATTAACTGTAGATATGAAACCAAAACCAGTGATCTATCTCCGTATCTCTTCTGGTACCAACAAAAGATGAATGGAATCCCCAAATACATGATGATGATATTTGCTATAACTGTACAAAATGACAAAGACTTTGAGGAGAGATTTAATGCAAATCACAACAAATCTTCAAAATTATTTCCACTGACAATCCATGTGTGTGTGTCTGACTCTGCTATGTACTACTGTGCTCTGAGGCCCACAGTGACTGAAACATTCACACAAAAATACAACTCTCTGATATTGATGAAAAATGTGTAACTATAATGAATATATAATAATTAAATAATAATAAAAACAATATACTGAAGCAGTTAAGAATAATATCAACATGCTTTTTACAGCTTTTTCAAATAATATACCCAAGTACAATAACAATGTCAAGTGCTCCATATTCCAGAATTGGTTTTGTTCATCAGATTGAAATAAGGGGTCAGTGTCTGAAACAACATATGTGAAGATACTGATAAAACAAACATCAGAACATTGGAAAGTTGTTAAAATAGGCTACACATAGAATCCTTCAGGAGGAGACAGTCACACTGTGTGTTTTCAGATTCTGTGCAGTCAGACTCCTCCTGCAGGTCTTTGCATATTACAACTCTTACAACTTTATCAAAGAGAGGCTAAAACAAGAGTCTGCTGTAGATTTTAATGAGTTCATTTAATCTAAAGTATTATTTTAACAATTATTGTGATGGCAAACTGGCAAAGAATTGAAGTCTTCTTTATCACATATTACTGGGGTAAGTCAAATTCTTTAAGTATAAATTCTATAATATTCTTCTATGAGATCTTCATCAGTGATTTTTGCATTTCATTACAGGATGTGGTTCTCTGGACAGTGTTGAACAAAATACAACTGTTCAAACTGCTGTTGAAGGAGCAGCTGTAACAATCAACTGTCAATATGAAACCACTGATAAATTGCCAAATCTCTTGTGGTGCCAGCAAAAAGCAAATGGAGTTCCAGAATACATGCTGAGCAAATTTGGTTCAAGGAATCGGTTCAATGAAAGATTTAGTGGCGATCTCAACACAATTTCTAAAACATTTCCACTGACAATCCAGGATGTGCGTGTGTCTAACTCTTCTGTGTACTACTGTGCTCTGAGGACCAACACTCAACACTCATACAAAAAACCCTGTATGTGCAACTCAGTAGTGTTGTTCAATCTCTGATGTGACTAATACTTCCACAATTATGAAGCCTGTGTCAACCTAAATAATTAATAATAAAAAATCATTTTTATATTGCCTAAAACACACACACACACACACACACACACACACACACACACACAGATTAACCACACATTTTGCCACACAATTGCAACTTAATATGTTCTTAACTTTGTAAAACACTAAAAACAACAAATGTAAAAGTAAAATGGCAAAATCGAATTGTGTACTTTTTAAGACTTTAATTCATATTCAGCAGTGACTGCATTGAACCCTCAAACAAAGCAAAACAAAACATCATTGCACCACAGACATAAAAAATAAAATAAAATAAAATGCTGCTATTGCAAAGTTTTGATTACATTTAGTTATAAAACTCTGAATTTAATGAATAAGGATTTTAACATGAATTAAAGTGATATATATATATATATTAATCCTTGTTATATTTAAATTATAAAATAAAATGGGATTGATTGGTTGTGATGTCACTGGCCACACCCACAATATTCATACACAACAGAGCTCCTCCCCGCTGCAGTCATTTATCTGTGCATCCATTTTTATCATTTATCACATTTAGTTTATAAACACATATATAAACCTCCAAAAAACATACATCGCCAACCTTAAAACTATTATCAAAATCAGTCTAAACTGAGGTGTTAACATGGAGAGATGTCTACTAGTGATTGTCATAACAGTTTCAGGTAGATATAATTTGCTCTTTTAACATTACATGGTAATTTAACAACAATATCTTGTTGATGGTTTAATGATGTCTCAAATTATATTGCAGGTGCATTTGCTGACACCATTAGTCCAGTTAACAAGGATATGATCAGAAGAGAAGGAGAGTCTGTGACACTGAGCTGCTCATATGATGCAAGCAGCAATTTTGTTTATCTTTACTGGTACAGACAGTATCTAAACCGAGAACCAGAATATTTACTGTATGAAGGTGCCCGATCAAATAGTGGAGAAAAGGATACACCAGATGACCATCGGTTTCAGTCGACAGCATTTCAATCATCCACTGATCTCACTCAGGGTTGGAGCTGAACTCTGCAGGACTGCGGCTCTCTAGGACCGAACTTGCCTACCCCTGAGCTAGAGCAAAGAATTAAAATATCCCAATTATTATTTTCCCCTTAAGAATAACATATCAAAGTAATGAAATAGTGTTATATGCTGATATTAATTATATATTTTTATAATTACAGTAACATAAACAGTATTATGTAATAATACATTCATAAACATAAATGTTTACACAGTGTAAGTAAATGTGAGAAATGGCATTTGAACCTTTTGCAATACACAAAAGAAACCAGGAGAGGGTGATATTTACTTTATATTTACATTGTTAACTATGTTCATCTGACAGTGCACCGAGCTCCTCCTCATTATCACTAACAACACCAAGGCTTTGAATAACAGACTCAAGTTTCAGGTAGATATAATTTGCTCTTTTAACATTACATGGTAATTTAACAACAATATCTTGTTGATGGTTTAATGATGTCTCAAATTATATTGCAGGTGCATTTGCTGACACCATTAGTCCAGTTAACAAGGATATGATCAGAAGAGAAGGAGAGTCTGTGACACTGAGCTGCTCATATGATGCAAGCAGCAATTTTGTTTATCTTTACTGGTACAGACAGTATCTAAACCGAGAACCAGAATATTTACTGTATGAAGGTGCCCGATCAAATAGTGGAGAAAAGGATACACCAGATGACCATCGGTTTCAGTCGACAGCATTTCAATCATCCACTGATCTCACTATTACTGGTGTAACTCTGTCAGATTCAGCTCTCTATTATTGTGCTCTAAGAGTAGCAGCCCAGTGATACAAAATGCCTGAGAAGCTTTACAAAAACTCTCACACACTGTTATTGCTTTGAACTACAGAAATCAAATGAGTATCAAACCACAGACATATCTTTTGTAAACCACAGGTACTATAAATGAAAGGATATGGTAACACCTGTTGAACAATAAATAGCGGTTCATGAACTGAGCTGGGAGAAGGAAAATTAACTAACAAACTGAATAAAATGTTAATGATAATAAACTGTAATTGTAAATTGAGGAAGACTAAATAAATTACTAGAGCAAACAGACTCACGCTTTCAGGACTGAATCATACTGCTTGGATATACTATTCTCTCAAACAATGAAACTATGGTTGGAAATGTTGGTTTTTGCACTGGTTATTGCTGGTATGTAAAGTTAATTTCTTTACATTTATTTAATAATTATTTATTTTAATTTGTGCATGATATTTATTTATAGTACCATTTGTAACATGATTATATATTTGCAGAATGTAGACCAGAGGATACAGTTGATCAGCCAGATAAACATGTAACTGAAGCTGAAGGAGGATCAGTCACATTACAATGCAAATATACTGCAACTACAACAGCACCAGAACTCTTCTGGTACATCCAGAGAGCAAATGACATTCCTAAATACATGCTGAGGAAAAACAAATACGGAGGAGATCAGGCCACTGAGTTCCAGGAGAGATTTCACTCTGAAGTATCATCAGATTCAGTTCCACTGACAATCAAGAATCTGCGTGTGTCTGACTCTGCTGTGTACTACTGTGCTCTGCAGCCCACAGTGACTGAAACACACTCAGCTCTTACAAAAACAAAAACAAAGCTTGCTCTATGTTGGCAGAAAAGGGGGCAGGTCTTGATATCACAATCCACACCCACATTATTAATATAAAGCACATAAGTTCCCTGGTGCATTCATTATACACAA